ATGTTTACTGGTTCCCTATATTCACTGACACTGCCTGTGATGAGCTGGTAGAAGAAATGGAGAATTTTGGCCAATGGTCCGCTGGAGGGAATGTGGTAAGAAAACTGGGGGCTTTCTGGGTTACAGTTTTTGCCACTTGCAGTGAGTATCTGATAGCATTTGCAGCGCACTACAGGAGACTGTTTAATGCAGTAATTAAAATAAGGGGCTGGGTCAGGGCTCCTGAGTTCAGTTTCCAGGTCTGCACCTGACTCACCACATAATTTTATCCTTGTGCCCAAATTTTTAATTATTTGGTTGATTTTTTTTTTTTTTTTCCTGCTTCCCTGTTTGAGATTAAGTAGACTGGATTCTCAGAGGTCCCAAGCTTCAGCAGCTTCCATTGACTTCCACTGGTGTTGCAGCACATGTATATATTTGAGCATCTGAGATTAGAGCTGGTGACCATTTTTGAAAATGTGGGCCCTAACCTCCCTGTGCCCTGAGCTCCCCTCTGTCAAATGGGGATTATAATATCTGCTTATTCCTAGGTTTAATGAATGCCTGCAATCAACTTCACGGGCCTGGAGAGCCTGCTAGAGATATAACATTAAGTTACTATCAGAAACCAGTATTTGTATACTTCAAGATACCAATCATCAAATATCTCCGGTGTTTCAATTACAGGACAACAGAATACAAGGAGGATATGAAAACGTCCCAACTATTGACATTCACATGAACCAAATAAGATTTGAAAGGGAGTGGTACAAGTTCCTTCTGGAATACATTGCTCCCATCACAGAGAAATTGTACCCGGGCTACTATACTAAGGTAGGCATTGAAAACCACGCTTCCTGGACACTGTCACAGTCAGCTGTGACTGAAAAATCTTTCTTGTGCATTCTGCCTTCCAAAAATAAGATGCATGCTTTATTGGGGGGAGGGAGGGTGGGGTGTTGTATGTGAGAAAGTACAATACCTTTGGATATTACACCAAGGGTATACCCATAACCTACAGCTGAATGCCCTCTGAGAGCTGTAACTGGCAATATGTTTATGGTTTTCTTTTCTCTCCGGCAGACTCAATTTGAGCTGGCCTTTGTTGTGCGTTACAGACCTGATGAGCAACCTTCCTTGGTGCCTCACCATGATGCCTCTACCTTCACCATCAATATTGCCCTGAACCGTGTAGGAATAGATTATGAGGTAAGGGTCCATGTAGAAGGGCACTCTGGAAGTCTCCCTGTCCAGTCTCAGACTAGACCACCCAGTGCAGCTCCCAGTTCATCCTAGGCAGCTGACACCCTCCTAAATCCCTTCCAATTAGCAACTGTGTCTGAATTGCAAAATTTCCTAGAGGCAGACCCAAGATGGGAGCTAGTGAGAGCTTCCCAGGCTATCAGGAAGGAGTCAGTGAACTCTGAAGGCTGCTGGGACAGTACCAGAATAATTTCTCTTACGTGTAGGTACTAGTACTTAACTCAGGTCTCTCTGGTTTTATTTCACACAGGGAGGAGGTTGCCGGTTTCTGCGTTACAACTGTTCTGTACGGGCTCCTCGGAAGGGTTGGACACTCATGCATCCAGGACGCCTGACCCATTATCATGAGGGTCTTCCGACCACAAAAGGGACCCGTTATATTGCAGTATCTTTTCTCGACCCCTAGAGCTAGGCTCCCCAAGAAGGACTTTTCCCCAGCACCCCTCACTGCTGAGTGGGAGCTGGGAATGCTGCTGAGAGTCTCTGAGGCATCGATCAAAGCTATTTGGATGGTGATTTCTAATGATGTTTTAAGACTGCTGTTGGAAGCTCTGTCCTGTCACACTGCAGGTCATACCTAGGGGCCTAGCTATAGAATTTGGATGGGGATTCTTTGTGCCTTCCTTTCCCATGTTACTCATGATTTGCTATTTCTTGGAAGTGCTGTTTACTTGGACTCTTAGGCATTACTTTCCAAAGTGTTTTCTTGGACAGAAAATCCAGTTGTATGGAGGCAAGTCACTTCTTTATTCTTCCCACCAGCCCTTCTCCCAAAGATCCAGAACTCTGTTTCTATTCACCATATACACAGGAACAGACACTAGGGAATAATTTCTGAACACTACTCCAACCATATGTTAGGTGTCAAGTCATGGAGCTGGCTCCAGTATTGGGGAGCAGCATCTTAGTAGCTGAAATACTGAATGAATCTGAATAGCCAGAGCCTGAAGTTCATCTTCCTCATACCTCTTTGAAGTTAGGTGTTTGTTAAATACAGCAATGATGGTAACACACGTAGAGCCTATTAGCCAAACTGTAGTTAGATGATGTAATTCTACTTCTGAGTTTAGGTGAAAGATCTCATCCTAACCTTTTTTTTTTTTTTGCTGCAGCTAGAAGGAAATGTTCATGCTTCACCAAACTGTGCGTGTCTGTAAGTGTGTGTAAGTGACCTCTTAGAAAGGGAAGGCTATGTAGAACAGGATATTCGAGATATTTAGTACTGAAGTCTTTCGCTTCTGTTATTGGTTCAGATCTATCCCGTATTAATGTCAAAAGTTGTAACCTTCCTGTAGCTGTTCATAAAATCATAGGAAAGTAGGGCTAGAAAGGACCACATGAGGTCATCTAGTACAACCCCTGTTCACTGGCCTCTCCAAAATGTCCTTGATGGTGTCATTCCAGTTCCCAAGTCAGGTGTCCATATTACATTGAACATTGACTGGGCTCCTGAGTCTACCCTAAGTGGACCATGGAAATTAAGTTGTTTTTTCACAGCTAGAGGATATTATTTCCGATCATCGCTTAAATATTCTAAAATATTACATACGCATCTCCCTAGAAAATGTTGGTTTTGTTACTGGAGGTATGGCTGGAAGGTGTTCAGATACTAGGGTGAAGTGTTTGGGATAAGAATTGATATAGTATAGAATAGAATCATGGGGGAGGCACAGTGGGGGCCAGTATAGAAGAAACGTGTCCTGCCAAGACCCATGGCGTATCAACTCTGCTTACTGAATGGAGGGCTTTAGTCTCCAGGTCTACCAATCTAGGATGTTCCATGAACACTGCATTCATGAACACTGCATTCACACAAAACAATGTTTTAAAAAATAAATGACTTCCAAAACCCAGCTCCCTATGAGTTTCCAGAGAGACTTTTCCATTTACTTAAAACTACTAATCTAGGGAGAGCCATTTTCATCTGATATGGACAGATGATATGAACCATTAAAGAACTCAGATAGCTAGCCATAAGTTTTAAGAGAGAACTTAAAGGGGCATTAAGCTTTTCTTTTGCCATTGTTTTCTTTTTCTTTCTGGATCCATTTACAGACACAGACACACACAGACACACGCACACAACCCACTTGAAAGTAGAAGAATTAAAATGTTTCTATAACTAAAAACTGAATCCAGTCAATTGTTCACTGTCACCAAACAAAGGGATTTTAATCACTTGAGAAGGTGCTGAAAAGTTGTATGTATTTATTCAGTGGATTTAGCTACATATTTGTTGGGGTTTTTCACCTGCCCAAGAAAATAATTGGAATCAGGGAGGAGGGTTCTTGTGCTTTAGTATTTCACACAGGATGTACAGTTTCAAACAGGAGATTTTTACATTAAAACTTAACAAAATGATGAACTGTAAGCAATGCTTTTGAATCTTTAAATATATATAGTTAATTATATAAAGGCTGCTTTTTTTCTACAAGTGAATGAAAGCATGCATAGGCCTCTTAGACTGTCATTGTCTGCAGCAAATGATTCAGCAGATGCGACACAGGAGTATGCAACTCCATATCATGGTTAATTTTGAGGATTTACATGGTCATTTATCATTATCAATCATCCTGTCGAAGAATAGAGGGGGAATGGTCTTTTGATTCAAGACGTGGAATGGCCTTTAGGAAATGTGGGTTCAGATTGCTTTGCTATAGATGTGCTGTGTGATTTTTGATATCTCTTGGGCTGGGATTTTCAAAATCAATTGGAATTAGATATCTAAATCCCATAGACACCTTCGAAAATCCCAGCCTTAATTTCTTAATATCTCTCTCTCATCTGTATAACAAGGATAATTACATTTTCCCTTCCCAAGGTGTTGGTAAGCATGCACTCATTAATACTTGTGAACCGTTCATCTGTTACAGGGCCAAGAAGCTATACAAGGACTTACCTAGATAGATAGATATCAAGAGCCATACTTGATAGAACGCTGTTCGGGGAACGATAACACACAGTATTTATTTTAATTTCATAAAGAAGAAAATAAACCTAACCAGGAAGGAGCTGCTACCTGGGGCATGTATGACAAGGACTGTTTTTGGACAATCCACTTGACTTCTGCATTTGGAGTAGATCCTCTTGGCATCGGTTTAAACGTAAAGGGCAGTCCTGTCATTCAGGAGTAGCGATCTTTTAAGGCAGTAACACGAAAAGAAATAGAAACAAAATAAGGGTTATTGATCTATCCAGCCAGAGAGTAACGAGACTGCCTGGAGGGCTGTGGGGTGCTGTGCCTGTGAGAGGTGTGAGTGTGTTGGAAACACTGGGGCTTGGATAACACGATAACGGGCACAGGCCAGGCGTGCTGTGCTAAGGAGTGGAGGGGAATCTGCCCTGCAGTGCCACAGCCTGGGCCAGCCACCGTCTCCCCGTGAACTTGCTGCAGCTGGAACAGCTGTGCAAGGCTCTGCCCTTGGGCACCAGTGTCTGCAGGCAGGAAGTTGCCCAGCCCAGGCTCAGACGCTTCTGCTTGCCCCTGGTCATGGTGGCCTCCCAGACTGCGGCTTCCCACAGAGCCGAGCGCCTCGAGCCTGCGATCCCACGATGCATTGCGAACAGGGCCGCAATAGAAGCGGCTCGGACTACCGCTCCCATGATGCATTGCGAAGGGAGCAAAGGCCAAAACGCCTCTGGCAGTTCCCATGATGCATTGCGAAGCGGCCAAGGTCGGCGCCTCAGAACACCACTCCTATGATGCATTGCGACTGGGCCAATGTCTGGGTGCCTCAGCCTACAGCGCCCATGATGCAATGCGAGTGGGGCCAAGGCCTGAGCAGGGCAGGGCAGGGCTGGGCTGGGCTGGGCGGGTCGCGGCAGTGATGTCGTACAAGGGTTCGGCGTCCTTGGATGACGATTCCTGGGGTGTCATGGCGGCCTGGCGTGCAGGACGGTGAAGGTGAGAGGCGGGGCGCAGGGCAGCCGGGTCCCGCCGGCCGCAGAGGTAATGGCGCAGCCCGGGCTCCGGCCCGCGGGGGCAAGGCCCGGGGCAGCACGCGTCTGCCCAGGGGTAGGGCTGG